GGCTCACATCCTGAGACAAACTGGTTTTCTTCCTCTAAAGGCTACCTAATGTTTTAGGAAGACTACCTTACTTGACAGATTCCTAATTCTCAGCACAAACATGGCCTCTCTCCAGATGTCTGTCTCGACCTCCAGCCTTCTTGGGGGCAAGTCTATCCATGCTTTCCAGGTCTACAGAGATATGTCTAGTTCTGTAAAAGCTTAACCTAATAAACATACCTATATGTTTGTAGGCATATTTTACTTTGTCAAACACTCTATTTCACAAGGCATAGTTTACTTGATAAAACTTGGTACCAGGTACTTAGTATTGCTGGCATTTCTGTGTTTAAGAGACGTGAATCTTATAGAAGGCATTCATAACCTTTAAATTCCTATTCAATAGCTAACACTTGCGTACCTTATACAGTATAAAATACAGTGAGGATGGGTGCAAAACACATCAGTTCTGAAAAATAGGATTTTAAATGTAAAAGTATGCCTTACTATTTCAAAATAATAGGTTTTTAGAGATATCTCATTTTGTTCTCTAAGTGATGTAGAGAATATTGAAGCTATTATAGGAAGAATTTGAATCAAAGCTCAGTAAATAACTGGGTAAAGATCTTGTAATGATGACGAGCTTGAGTCCTTTCCATTCCTGCCTACTGCTCTGAAAGGGGCAAAGTGAATGAGCCAGAAAGTGTCGGGATTTTCTTGGGATGTGTCTGCAAACTGTGTATCTCCATATCCTAGTGAATAGGTGTTGATTCACAAGGCTCAGGTTGGACTTTGTAAAGACCCTTGAAAAGCTCTTAAATCATTCTGAAGCTGCTGGTTGAGAGTCAACATGTTTGGTGGTTATGAATTTACTCATTTAACTGCATATCCAGTATTCCTGTGGCTTCTTCCTAGAAACAATATGAGCCTTATCGTTGCAATTAACCCCCATTTCAAACTTCTCTCATTTTGTAAATATAAACCATGCATTAGCCAGGCACAATAAGTGAGCAAGGTGGGAAAACTTTGGAGTCCTTGGCATACAGAGTGCAATTCAACAGGAACCCAAGAGGGGTAGGCATGTATATACCGATGACTCTTTGCTAGCTGTTAAGTGGAGTGCAAAAGTTAACTTTTTCCTCTTGTGTGGCAAAAAGAATTCATTGAAAAAAATAGAATAATTGCTTTTTTTTGCACCAGCTAAACACAATAAGATAAATGATATGATCCAGAACCATGGTAAAGAACAGGAATGACCCACAGATGAGGGGCATGGATACGATACAGTCTCCAATAACACATTCATGCTTTACTGAAGAACAGCCCCAGATGTCTTGTTCTAATGCTTCGAGAGACCATTCACCTGCCATATTTTGCATATCATTTATTTTATGGAAAAAATTCAATTCTAAACCTTACATAACCTGCAAGATCCAGCATTTTATGCAAAGCAATCTCAAGAACGAAAATTAAGTAGCTGCTCCTTGGTTCTGTGACAGAGAAAGCTAGGTTGAATAATGAGAAGGAGGAAATGCGTTGCTCTATTTTCTGACTCATGTTAGAACGGCATCTATACAGAGGAGAAAGTGAGTCATTATAAAATAAGAATGGCCAAACTTGTTAGGAAACACGGATGAATATCCATTGAAAAACATTGCTTTCAATTTTGATACTGTGGTTGGACATTGAACTTATGAAAATAAAGGAAAGGCAAAGAGTAAGAATTACTATTAATCATCCTTTGAGATCCCTTTGGGAGTGAATAAAGATTTCTCTGTGTCTATACTTTCAGGAAAAAAAAATTGTTATGGCTGGTTTGTTCTGATTAAGCTATGTAGAGATTAAAGTTTAAATAGTACCATAACACTAAAATAATTAAGAAACCTTAGAAAGTCAAACAATTGAGTAAAAAGTGCAATTTAAAATGTTAAAATTATTCTGCTGAGAAAATCAACTTTTTCCCATTGTATTTTTGACATGACGTCTGTTGACACCAACTGAAATGCTACAGGAAACAGAATGTGCTTCAGAATGCATCTTGTTTGAAAAATAGGAAGTAGCAGTAAACAGCTTTTAATAACCAGTACACTCTGAAATTCGTCTAAAAAACATTGAAAGGCTATCACTTTTCATAATCTCTATATTTAAAATTGTCTAATTTCTTTTTCCTGGGAAAAGGTGATATATTTGTCCTGTGAATAAAATCTGTCATTTATTTTCAAAGTTTTTATTATTGCATGCACCTTTTTTATCAATATCTGCTATGTATTTATTAAAATATTTTTTGCTATGAGAATGATTTACATTATCTGTATAGGTTTTCAAAAGAAAAACACAGTATTATAGACCACGACAACTGACCTCCAAATACTTCTGAAATAGTGCTTTGTTCTAAAACTAGTATGCTAATGATCACCTGTATTTTTCGCCTACATTTAACTTTGAGGCCAAAATTGTTGACAAATTTGAGAAAAGAAAATAATATCTACTGGTGGTAAAAGTAATGGGTCCATTCAATATCATTTTCTGTCCTCAAAATCTCAGCTGGAGTCTGTGGTTGGGCTCTGTGAATACGACTACTGCTTCCCTCCCTCCAGGGCAGGCACTGCAGCCACAGAGCAAAGGAAACAGTGCACAAGCTCACTCTGCTTTGCTTCTTGCAGTGCAAAGCAGCGCAAAGCAGGTCTCCTAGGACTTCAGGGTCATGAAAAGTCTCATTCTTTACAGTTTCCTGGCAGTGCAGTCCTGTTCAAGGTCCTTTGCTTTGTGCATGCTTTGAATTGGGAAATTTATTCAGAATATGCCCTGGAAATTTTTCCTGTATTATTTCTACCTTTTTGCTTCTAAGAGAACTTTTTTTTTTTTGCAATTGATATAAATTATCTCTGTCTTTCAACAAAACAAACAGTCCAACTAAATCCGCTTAGACCATGCGAGAATTGAGAGGGCAATCACTAAAATAAAATGTACCTTAGCACTTCTTGAAATACTTAATGATCAAGGAAGAAGCCAAAGTTAGGTAATAGAAGACTGTCTTGTTCTCTTACAACTTTGAAAGAAGACCACAACATTAATTTATTTCCAGATAACCTCTTCCATGAAAATTTGGGACTAAGTTTCATTAAAAATTAATACGATCTTACTCTGAATCTTAACTTTGCCTTCACTGGGTTTTAAAATTCAATCAGCTCTGTTAAGATGATCTTGATAAAGAAGAGCTTATATTTATTTCAGTTATTAAATTTTTAGTAGATTTTTAAAATCCAGGACACCCCCCCCACATTGCCTTCTCCATTTTCTAATTTTTGAAAACACTTATGCATGAGAGAATTCATGGAAAAATAGTACCAACAGTCACACAGTGATTTTTTTTTTTTGATAACCAGATTATTACCACTGACACTGGAACAATGCACAGCTTCTTCAAACTGAAACTGAATGAGTGCCTTCTTGGAGTAAGGGGTGCTGTGGAATTCATTAACCTACAGTTGTTGAATACGAGGTGTAGCACTCGGGCCAGCGCCAAGAATGGAAGTGTCACACTTTCAGGGACTCTTCATCCACAAAGCTACACTTAGAAAGATTTGCAATGTGTTGGCTGTGGCTTTTCTCCCTGTCATGTTGCTTTTTTGTTTCTGAAGGATCTAAAAGAAACCCTTGATCTTTTTTTTTTTTCCAGCAAAATAACAGGATGCTAAGAGGAAGGGCATCCTAACATTTTGCTGCTGCCTCACTTTCAACCCCAGCCTCTCCCCCCGCGCGCTCCCACCTGACGTTGGTGACACACACTGTGGACTCCAAAGCACTCTTCTCCATGCCGCCCTTTTCCATGTAGGCGTAGATGTCGCCGTGGGCAAAGGCCACCAGCCACCACATGATGGCGAAGAGCAGCCAGCTGCAGAGGAAGGACATGGTGAAGATGACCAGCGTGTGGCGCCACTTGAGGTCCACCAGGGTGGTGAAGATATCCTGCAGGAAGCGCCCCTGCTCGCGAATGTTCTTGTGCGCCAGGTTGCAGGCCCCGCTCTTGGCGATGAAGCGCGCTTTGGGCAGGCGGTCGCGGATGCGCGGCTTGCGCAGGTTTTCCGCGGCGATGCGCGCCAGCACATACTCCTCCGGGATGATGCTCTTTCGGGCCAACATGGTCCCGTCAGCATAGCCAGCCTATCCACCTGTCTCTGCCCAGCCTCTGCTGCCCTGGGGACCCGTCCTCCTGCAGAGGGAAATGTGGATTAAACACTGGAAAAAAGAACCCCCCGAACGTCAGTTGCTCACCTCTGTAGTCGTACTCGGGGACAAGCCAAAACAAACAAAAAAACCGCGTCTGGCTGCGCTTGGTTAGGTTCTGGGCTCGCAGAAAAGCTATCTGATCTGAATCGGGACGATTGTTTCGATGTCGTCATTCCGAACACACTTGGGGGGCACAGGCTCCGTTCAATAAAGCAGGAGGCAGCCTGGAGGCAGCAAGCGCTAAAATAATTCTTTGCCATTAACCGATTAACCGCATCTGCCGGTGAGTTCAGAGGCACCTGCGCGCGGCGCGGAGGAGGAAAACCGAGACCAGCTGGGTACTGGAGCATTGACAGATGGAGCAATAGTACAAGTAAAGAGGGAGAAAATTCTTCCCCTGTTTTTACAACAGCAGAGGCCGCGTGGCCTCGTGCGTCTTAGGAACTCGTTAAGTGCAACCTCACACAATCACATTCAGTGCGCTACGCAACTCGAACATAACGAAGAATAGTTTGCAAGGGGAAGGAAGGGCGAGCTGCGTTTCCAAAAACGCACGAAAAAGTTGCCCGTGGAGTCCCGCCACACTCCAAACTTCTTTGCAACGAACGGGGCAAACCCGATCTGCGCGCAAACCCGCAGCGCCGTGGGCTGCGGGCTGTGGCGGGGTCAAGGCAGCGCCGCGGTGCTTGGCGTGTTCAGCCTTTGGCGGGGACGCGGGCAGCCTCCCCCTCCCGTGCCCCGGAGGCGCGCCGAGACTTACAGACTGCGAGCCCCGCGCGCGGCCGCTGCCCCTCGCGGCTCCCGCGGGCGCACCGCGGGCGGCTCCACGGCGCTCCCATGCCGGCGCCGCGCGGGAAGCCGGGGCCCCAGCGCCGGAGGCACGGATCCGGGCGCCGCTGGTCCCAAGCTGCAGAGCGATAAAACTAAAGGTGCACGGGGAGTCCGCGCGCGGGGAGGGCTGGAGGAAGGGGTGGGTGGGTGGGTGTGGACCCCCCTTTCCCCTCCCCCGGCTCAGCGCTGCGCCCTGGGCCCCTGCTGGCTGCAGCCGACGTTTTGGGGGCACGGAGCTTGGGAGGGATGCTCCTCAAAATCAGCCTTCCCCGCGAGGGCTCTGATGTGCGCCAGGGGTAGGGGCGGGAGGGCCCGGGCCGGGGGAGGGGCGGCCCGGGGAGGGCGGGGCCCGCCGTGCGCGCTGGGTTCCCAGTAGCCGCGACCCCCTGCGCTCGCGGGACACCGCAGGCTTTAAAAGGCTCTGCGCGAGGGGGAGAGCTGTGCAGTCCAAGATAGCTGACGTAAGGCGATCTGTATTTTTATTTTCACTTTATTTTGTAACCTGGGCAGATAGCTGGGCTATTTCAGGCTGAATTAAGCGAGAGTAAGAGAGAGATGCAAAGATATTCTTGCGAGGCGTTCAAGCTGTGTACAGCACACACAGTGAAACTGGTGTTAAATTTCCGTCGAAAAGGAACGGTGCCGGTGGTTGGTGTCCTGAAGCTTCAGCCACTTCTCAGGGAATTAACACACACAACTACCACGACCAAAAAAAAAAAAAAAAAAAAACCAGAAAAGGACTGGTGTTCTCGTCCAATGAAGAAATGTTACCCCAATCAGGACCGCTGTCAACACTGGAGCACTGACCCGGCCCTGCGGGCTGCAGCAATGGGCTGCCCCCTGACAGCCTGTGGCTTCGCGTTCTTGTCTGGAGTGTCTGATGGATAAGACAGGCCAGTGGTGCGCAGGAATGAGCATAGGGCGGTTAACTTCCCATAGCTTGTTGCAAACGAGCCAGCGGAGACAAATGAATGGGCTTTCTCCTACAGGTCGAACTGCGTCGTGCTTTTGGCACTTGAGTTAATGGATACTTGAATTCTTGAAAATATCATGCATTTTCCAAGATTCAAGGCCAAAAGTGTATGGAGCATAAACACTGTGTGTAATGACCAGAAATCCTAAAATTAGTATTTAATGAAGGCAGATGGATAGTTTTTCCCCCTTGTGGAGAGATGTGCTTAACCCCTTCATGCCTAGGGAACCTGGTCTGTTACTGGTTGCTTTTATGTACTCTCGTTAGTTTTTGCAGTAGTGTGTGAATATCTGTTTGTGAAGTTGATCCCTTGCACTTTTATTTTACAATTAAGTTTGCTGTACAATTTATTATCCATTATTTTAACTCAGACACCTATTTTGTAAAGTTAATTTTTTAGGTTTGCATATCTAGAAATATATAAATATGTAAATGATTATTGCTGATGCTAAAGAAAGTTAATTATAAAAGACATTGATAATTTAATGCACGCAAGAATGATTAGAAATTGAAAGTAAATACAACAAAATGAGAGTTCAAATTAGAGACATTTAAGACTCAGACTAAAGAAATACTGTGGATTATTGGACATCTGATTAGATATATTTGGAGTATAGAGAAAATCAGAGGAAAAACATTCCACAGAGAGGAAATGGCATGAGCACAGTCCAGGAGTATGGTAAGAGTGGGCCGTATGTTAGAAAGATGATTAATTTAATCAGCATTGCTGAAGCCATGTGGGATTGGGCACTGGAATCCAGGACTCTGCTAAGCAGGCTCTGTCACCACCGTTCTTAAAACATAATGACTTATTCATATTCCTGTCCTACCTAAGCCTATCCCCATGCGAAGAACTGCTCGAGGGTATGGAGCACTGTACAGAGGTGCTCAAAAAATATTTTTCAATCAATGAATGGAAAACAAGTTTGGGAAAGCATGTTGGGATCCGGAAACAAAATGTAGATAGAATAAGATAGCTTAAAAGGTTTGCCAAGGGACCCGGACTGCTTTCAACAGTAATGGTGAGGTGTGGAAAGATTGAAAGAGGGGGCAAGCATTTGGTTCAGCAGTTAAGACCCTGCTTTGGGACATCCACGTTGCATAGCAGAGTGCCTGGGTTCGAGTCTTGGATTTGAGTCTTGGCTTGCAAAGCAGGTGCCTGCTAATGGGACATAGCAGAGAGCTGGGACATAGCTCAGCTGCCTGGGTCTGACCCACTGACGTGATACACCTGGATGGAAGTCCAGGCTTGGCAGGGCTCGGGGCTTGCAGTTGGCCCAGCTCTGGCTGTTGCAGACATTTGAGAGTTGACCAGTGGATGGAAGATCTTTCTCTGTCACTGTGCTTTTCAAATAAATAAATTAAAAAAAATTGATCAGACAATAAAAAATAAGAGCTTGTTTTAGGAGGATTTATCAAGAAGCAGAGGATATGATATAGTGGCTTTCAGGGATGCCTTTCCAGTCCCTTGAGCTCCAAAATTCTATGGCTGGCGGAAGGGTGCACTGAAACTATTACACAAAGAATGAAGCCTTGGCTAACAGGTTATGTCAGCAGGCAACATACAAATCTATGTAAAAAGAATATTATGTAGAGTCAATATTGGGAGGGAGAGGAGTCAGAGGCAACTGATATTTATGGTGGTGACAGAGAAATAGTAAGAAAGATGGAATGAGAAGAAGCAAACTGCTGCAAATTTATGAGCATAGTTGCAATAAATCTTGGCTGAATCATGACAATGCTGTTCTTTTGCTATAATACATATTGTGTACTCCATTTTTTTCCCAGTGCGAGATAGGAGGATACTTCAACAAGTTCATGGAAAAGGGAATTAAAATCCATGGGCATTTTCATGACTCACATTTACAGTGGACTTTTTGAAGGCCCCACAAATGCATGGCTTTAAAATGCTTTTGCATGAAACTAAACCCATCTTTTAATCCCCATTTCTGCAAGCATTGTGAAGTGTATCCTTCAAATATGGTATATCCTTCCAAATACGCATTTTCAGCTTAAAATTTGACTTGTTTTGAAATTAAAATATAAATTGATTAATTCAAAATAGGAGCACCTATAAAGGTCAAATTTTAAGAAATTAGTAAATTTTTGACAAATGGGTGTCTAAAAATAAATAGTGGCCATTTTAAAAAGGTGAAGAATGTGTGCTATAAAAATTGTACAAGGGCAAGTGTTGTGGCACAGCAGGTTAAGCCACCTTTTGAGATATCCACACGTCATATTTGAGTCTTGGATCCTCGGCTTCCCATCTCGCTTATTACTAGTGCACCTGGGAAGGCAGTGGGTGATGGTCAAAGTGCTTGAATCCCTGCACCCACATGGAAGATCTGGGTGGAATTCCTGGCTCCTGGCTTCGCCTAGCCCAGCCCTAGCTGTTGTGGGTATTTGGGGAGTGAACCAGTATATGGAAGATCTGTGTCTCGTTGCCACCCCAGCACTCTGCCTTTCAAATAAATGCCTCTTTTTTTAAAAAAAAAAAAAAATATCAGTAGTCTACCAAAATATTGATTTTCTTTTCTCTTTCCATTCCCTGCTGACATTTTTCCTTAACAGTTTGTCTCAAACCATTCCTAGCTTCTGTTGGTAGGTGCTCAATAACGAGGCTAAATGAAGGGCAGACAGATGAGTTCTTGATGCATGGTGTTTCTCTCTGTCGTGCATTTGCTGCCTCATCTCCCTTCCCTTCATGGTTTGGCAGCCATTTCTCAGAACCAAGATAGGAAAGGTCAAGTATGGAATTCTGGAAGTTTATGGCTGTCCTTGTCTACGAAGACATCCTTGCTCATCCCCTCTCCCCGCTCTATTTACCTTTTGATCCTGCTTCCTTCAAACTGTTCCTGCCTCCCTTGCCCAGCAATTTCCAGAACAACTCCAAGTCAACGATAACTAAACTTGACTGGCATTTGCTGGCTGTGTCTCTACAACTTGGTCTTGATCTTAATGGAGACATACTTCTCTGTTCACCTGATTTTTCTGGACACAAAGTAGCTGCTCAAGAAGTATTTGTGATGGATTGATCTCTGCTCCCCTTTTGATCTTCCTTTTTTATATTTTCATGCAAACAGTGAACATTCAAATTGACCTCTGGTGAGAAACTGGCCAAGAAAAAAATCAATTTTTCAAGAGCATATTTTTTTATTTAAGGCTTATTTTATTGATCTATGTATTTAATCACTATTTTGCTGTTGTCCAGGAAAGGTTACATGTGTTTTCTTTACTGCTCAATGATTTTCTTAATTGTTTTTTCAGTAGTGAAGACTTATACATGCCATACTCTTGGAGGAAACTAGAAATAAGTTTAGAACTGAACTCATTTTGTTTAATCATTATGACTTTCTTGATCATTCAGGAATTCTCTTCTTTAGAAGATTTATTTATTTATTTGAAAAGCAGAGAGTAACAGAGAGAGAGGGAGAGAGAGAGAGAGATCATCCAAACGCTAGCTTAATCCTCAGATGACCACAACAGCCAGGGCTGGTCCAGCCTGAGCAGGAGCCAGGAACTCGATCCTGTTCTCCTTTAAGAGTGGCAGCAGCTCAAGTCCCTAGGCCACCCTTTGCAGCTCTGTGAGCTGCATTAGCAGAGGGTTGGACTGGAAGCCGAGCAGCCAGTACTTGAACTGGCACTCCAACATGGGGATGCTGGCATTGCAAGTAGTGGCTCAACCCGCTGCACCAAAACACCAGTTACAGTATTCAGGAATCCTGCGAGAACCTGCTCATGTTTACATATCAAAAAAATTTACAGAGCTGGGAAGCAATTCAGATACCTGTTCACTTGTGAGTAAAACCTGTCAGGTTCTCTTTAGATCCTAGGAGCATTTTATTGGGGAATGTGGAAGTATCTGCAGTTTTCCTTCTAAGAAAAAAGGGCTTATTAGGCTCCTTCAGACAAATGAAGAAAATAGCAGGCTGATCGTATACCCAATTTTCTGTTGTGTTGATTGCTACATACAAACCAGTGAAGTCCTTGAAACCACTCCTGGGATCAAGGATTGAAGTCCTTGCATTTGGCGACTTTGTCTTTGACTTAGGAATTTTGAACTCGTGGATTTCCTGAGCCATATTAAACTTGAGAATTTGGAGAGTCTTCAAAATGACAATGGAA